CTCCTAGCACACTATTTAAAGCTGATGGCTTTAGTCCAGAATCAGAGCAGAGAACCAGGGATTGTTATTTTCATATGACTGTGGCTAGAACTGGGCAGGCTCTAGTTTTTCATTTCAATTCGGTTGCAAAACAGTAATTGAAGCATATCGCTTTCATCTCCACTTATCTCCTTCCGCTCTTCTCCCTTTGGAGCGCTGCTTGTCTTCCCATCGTTTGCGCATCTTGACACTGTTGGTTTCTCTATGATATATTGTCTGGGATTCTGGTACTTCATTGTAGCTCGATGCTGATGTACATGGCAATTAAATTCAAACCCCAAAGAGGTACAGCTCAGTCAGAGCCCCCCCCCCCCNNCCTTCTTCACTTCTCCCTCCTGTCCGCTGCTGCTACTGCAGCCTCGCACTCGCACCCCTTTCAATCACTGTCTTTTTTCCCAGCTCTCTCTTCCTTTGATTCCCCTTCTTCTCCCCCGTATCTGTCTTTTTTTGGCGCTCGCTCTCTGTCTGTCTCTGTTTCTTTCCCCTTCTATTCCCTTCATGTTAATAAGCAGAGTAATGGTGTTGCAGGCAGTTCCTGGTTGGGGAGTTAATTAAAATGGCAAGTTACAACCCACACAGTCAAAACAATGGAGGCCCCTGCTTTTCGTAGTGACACAGGGAGATATTAAACAAGCCCAAAATCAAACACTGTGAAGAGGCAGGAACCCAGTAACACTGAGTATCCTCCAACTCTTCCCCTCCTGAAGCACTGAGGGGTTTATTGTTACGCTGTCCAGCCCAGTCGACATTAGTCATAGCAGAGATCCAGTAATTACCTTGCGAGCTCCCTGAACTGCTGCATGAAAAGCAGTTGTGTACAAGATATTAATGTGATTACTGCAGCATTTACTGAGCCAAAAACTACACTGACACTGATCAGACGAGAAACCGAAGAAGGGAAATAGTGACATCTGCCTATTCCCCACCCACCGCCACGAACATACGCACACAAAGACGCACACACACACACACACACACCCCAAATGATTTTTGCTAGCGTGGCTAGCACAATGCAGCGCACTCAGGCTCCGGCAACAGAGGGCCGGCTGAGCAGGACATGAGCTGTTGCTATGGTTACCATTTCTCGGCTCGCTCTCGCAGCCCAGGAAAACTGTGTCATTATCCTGTACTTTGGATAGGAGAAGAGAGAGGAAGAGAGAGAGAAAGAGAGGGGAGGGATACAAAGAAAAAGAATGAGGTAGAAAGCGGAGACAAAGATAGAAAGGAGAAAGAAGAGGGGAGGGGGGGGCTTCAGTTCACACAGGCCAGCCATGCATCTAACACACACATCATCAAAATTTGCACCCATTTGTGCTCCTCTATTCACTACTTCTCCCTTTTTTCCCCCCTTTTTCCGTCTGTCAGTGGAGCTATAGTTTTCACTCTAATAGGTAAACAACTTCTGTGCCGACAAATAATGCTTGAAAATATCAGGTAAAAGCAGTGCTGTGTCAGGTGATAATGGGATGTGTGTCTTTTTTCTGTCTCTCTCTCTGGCATCTCCTCTGCAAATTGTCACCAACAAGCTATTATGTTGGTAAAAAAGATCAATCTCTGCACCATTGTATTTATTTTAACACACCAACAGCCACGTGCCGCTCTAATGACAGCCAGCTCTGGTTCTTATTGAATAAATACACAGCTCACAATAACAACTGCACAGTGGGATAACAATCCTCTTTTGCAAAACGTGCAACCGTAAGAGTTGTTTCTAACCTCAGAAACACATAATGAAAAGCACTTTATATGTTCATCATTGCATTTGTGTGCGTGTGTGTACAGTATGTGTGTGTGCGGTTATGTACTTGTTCACTTCGCTCGGTGTGTTTGTGCAACGTGAGGTCCGCATCATAGGAGTTACATTGCAAACTAATTACATGGCCGTGTAAATAGAGGCACCCTGCTGATATGGGCTGTGCACCACATGATTTCCCTTGGTAGAGCAGAGCCTGTTTGCACTGCCTTGCTGCGCTGAGTGTGTGCATGCACGTTTGTGTGTGTGTGTGTGTGTGTGTGTGTGTGCAAGCATGCACGTGACCTGTACATGAAGGTATATGTGTGGGTGTGTGTGTGTGTGTGTGTGCTGAGGGAGAGCATGTTTTGTAACCTGCGTGGTGTGCTTTATTGAGCTACAAGCTAAAAGAGTGTGTCTGTGTTGAGGAGGCAGAGTAGCCCCTCCAAATGAAAGGCTGCCCTCTCCCTCTCTGCCCGCCTGACGCAGCTCTCCAGAGAGACCTGTTCATATTACTGTGGCTGTCTGCTGGTCAGAGAAACACAAACAGCACAAAACAAAGCCGCCTTCGATAGGAAAGTGAAGAAAAGACCTTGTGTGGCCCTCATCTATTCTCCTCTTCACCACTGATGGCTTATTTTGTACCACTAATATGAAAGAGAGGAAAGGGGGAATATGTGTTTTGACACCCAACTTCAAAATAAAAAGTATTTTGGAATAGTTTAGAATAGGTAGAAAGTAAGTAAGACAGGTGTTTAATCAAGCACTGCACAATTACGTACACTTTTGAGGTACCTTTTACTTCTACATTTCAGAAGAAATAATAGTTCCTTTACTTCACTTTTGGTT